GCCCGCCTCCCCCGCCTGTCGCCAGTGACCGGGCTGTGGCCGCGGGCGGCAGGTCGGGCTGGGATCGCTGGAGCACGAGTGACCAGCACTTACCGCAATCTTGTTTTTAATGAGACTGAGTTTCTCCTGCGCCTCCGCCAGCTCCGCGTTAGCCTCCTCCAGGGCCTGCCTCTTGGGCGCCACGTCGCAGTACACCTCGTAGAAGCGCACGATGTTCAAACACCAGGAGCACAGGCCGGCTGCAGCCGTGGACTTGGAGAGGATGAACTCGGGGTCGAAGGTTGGGTCTGACTGGTAGGGCCTGGGGACAGAACACGAAGCGGGACGGCGCCGTGAGCTCCCCTGGGCTCTGGGCCGGTTCCCCTGCTCTCTGCCTGGGAGCGCCCGGCTTAACCCGCCACGGGCCTGGTTTCCTGGGGCTCCCTGACTGGCTGCCACAGCAGAGCAGAGGAGGGTCCCCGGGGAGGCGCAGCAGAATCCGGCTTTCCGTGGGCCCGTTCATTCTACCACAGCTCCCGATGAAACCAGGCAGGCGGGCTGCCCAGCTCGTCCCCTGGGCCCGGGCTCGGCAGGCGGCGAACCTGACGGCTTGCTGGCTCCTGGGGACCTGGCCAGGGAGCTGGCTCAGGAACTTTTCTAAATTCCAGTTTGGGTCGGAGTTCCCTGAGCCGCGCCGACATGGCTGGAGAAAGGTGAATTTTCTCCCTCGCCCCTGCAGATCCCTGCCCACCGCCGGGGGTGGAGGCCACGGGACGGGAGTCTGAGAGGGGCTCGGAGGGGCATGTTTCTCGTCTTGCTGGAGGGCCCGGAGCGGGGGCCGTGCCCCTAAACACCGGCCACTCCCAGCCCCCGGGCCTGACGGGCAGCGTGTGCATCAGAGACCCAGCAGCTCAGAGAGGGTCTCCGCGCTGCTCGCTCCCAGCTCGCCGGCCCGCAAACAGCCCAGAGAGGGGCCTGGCTGTGCTGGGGAACCAGGAGCAGGCCGTGGCCGGGTGCCGTGGGCGAGAGACGCCGGGCCTTTCCAAGGCCCAAAGGATCAAGCCCCCCCCGTGTCGCTGCGCGCCGGGCCAGCGGGCTCAGGCTCACTCACTTAAATGCTTTCAGGCAGGGCTCCGGGATGTGCTCCTTATCGTACTTCTTCAGGGAATCCAGGAAAGAGTCGACTTTCCCCATCATGATTTTCGCCGCCTTCCAGCTTTTGTCCTTGGGGATCTTGCCCCCGGGGGCCGTGAGGATCATCACAGCTGCCGTGACATTGACCACGGCCTCGGGGGGCGAGCCGAACGACTTCAGCTCCGTCAGGTTGTTCTGCAGAGGCCGGGAGTCGGCGCAGTCACCGGTTGGGCTCCGGAGACGTGGGTCGCGGCCGGCTCTGGATCCAGCCAGGCCGTGGGGGTGCAGGAACCTCCCCCCCTTCCCCTCCCAGGCCGTAGCGCTGGGGCGCGGGAGCGCTGCATCCCTCACTGGCCCCTGCGGGGCCCCCCCACACCCTGCCCCACCAGGAGGCAAAGCAGGGCGGCCGTTCCCTCCCCACGCAGGCAGGTACTGACCTTATTGAGCGTGTCCAGAGCCTCCTGTGCTGCTTGCAAAGCGGGTTCTGCCTTGGCCAGGTCAGTCTCACAGGCTCTTTGCTTCTCTGTCACGTTCTGCGGGAGGCGACGCGGGAGTGAATGGGGGCGGCGCATCCCCCGGCGTGGCCTGGCTCCGGAGCGGGGAGCACTGGGGCCTTGTGCTGCCCCTGCCCCAGCCGGCTGCAGGGGAGCCGCCTGC